GAGCGCTCCCCCCGGAGCCGCACAGCCCGACTGCGTTGCGAGCGGCCGCGCAAGAACGCGGCAAGGCCGGCTGACTAAGCAGCTGCCTGGAGCCCCACGGCAGGGTCTTCCGCTGCCCATGGCCCATTTGAAGAGTGCAGCACTTCGGTTCTGCCCAGGAGGGGAATTGCTCCGCTGCGGGGGGGGGGGGTTAGAGGGGGGTTACAGCCAGGAGCCTCTTTCTGCCCCCCCTGAAGGGGTGTTGTGGGGCCGGCCATCACCCCCACCAGGGGACCACTGGTCTGATCTGGGGCATAAAGGCCGGGGCCTTCCTAAGAACCTAACAAGAGCCCTGCTGGGTCAGACCCCTGGTCCATCTAGTCCCGGCTGTGCTGAAATACTGGATTCCCTCGCATTCCTGGACTGGACTGAGTGGGTTAATCCTGTACGGGCTGACAGCGGGACATAGAGGCCAAGATCTTCATAAGAACATCAGAAGAACCCTGCTGGACCAGCAGCCCATCTAGTCCAGCATCCTGACTAACAGAGTGGCCAGCCAGTTCCTCTGGAAGTCAAACAGCAGGGCACAGAGGCCGAGGTCTTCATAAGAACATCAGAAGAACCTTGCTGGATCAGACCAGGGGTCCATCTAGTCCAACATCCTGTCTCACACAGGGGCTAACCAGTTCCTCTGGAAGGCCAACAACAGGGCATAGAGGCCGAGGCCTTCCTAAGAACCTAAGAAGAGCCCTGTTGTGTCAGACCAGTGGTCCATCTAGTCCAGCATCCTGTCTCACACAGGGGCTAACCAGTTCCTCTGGATGGCCAACAACAGGGCAGAGAGGCCGAGGCCTTCCCCTGATAAGAACCTAAGAAGAGCCCTGCTGGGTCAGACCAGGGGTCCATCTAGTCCAGCATCCTGTCTCACACAATAGCCAACCAGTTCCTCCAGACGGCCAACAACAGGGCAGAGAGGTCGAGTCCTTCATAAGAACCTAAGAAGAGCCCTGCTGAATCAAACCAAAAGCTTAAAGGTGCCACTGGACTCAAACTTTTCTGTTGCTTCAGACCAACCTGGCTACCCACCTGAATCTGGCAGTCCCGTTGTAAGGGACTGAGTGGGACCTGACTTGCCACAGGACCTCAGGTGAGTGGCATGCAGGTGATCCGATGCTTCCTTACCTGTTGGGGATGCTCGGGGTAGCCCTGGAAGACAAGATATGAATCAGCATTCAGGGAGTGCCTTTGAAAATGTACAAAATGAATGGAAAATGTTTATAAAATGTTTCATAGGTGGCACTGGTCACCGGAAAAACTGGCAAGGTGCTATCCCAATGTATCCAAAAACTGTTGGAAATGTAAAAATAATATGGGCACCTTTTACCATAATTGGTGGAGGTGCACGGTAATGCAACAATATTGCAATAAGGTACATAAACTTTTAGTAGATAATTTAGAGACAGAAATACCCTTATCACCAGAACTCTTCTTGTTAAACAAATTAACGGATAATTATGGAATGGAAGATAAATATGTAATTGTATATATAATCACAGCGGCGCGTATTTTGTATGCCAAATACTGGAAACAAGAGGAAGTACCCTCGAAAAGTGAAATAATTTATAAAATACTAGAAGTGGTAGAAATGGACAAACTAACTATAACTTTACAAAATAACTTTACAAAATAAACTTTACAAATATAACTTTACAAAATAAAGATGATAAGCTGTTTAAAAATAGATGGAAAAAATTGTATAAGTGGTTAGATAAGAAAGAATGTATAATAGGATAAGCACTTGACTCCAAAATTTGATATCTTGATGATCAAGATTTGTAACACTATATTGTTATGTGTGATAACTGGAAAATAGAATATAAAAAAATGTACAAAATGAAGAGGGCAGAGACGGTTGCTGGGTTTCAGCGTCCAGTTAACAGGAACACTGGCATAAACCAGAAGCTCTCCATTTTGTCTTTGAATGGCTACCAATGGAGGCTTTGTCATCAGTTTTGTTTGTCTAGGACTGGTTTCCCCCAGCAAGGTAGACTAACCAACGCCTGGGCCACCACCAGCTCGGACCAAGCCATCTCAGGCAGCCCCAGAAGGTGAAGGCAGATCCCTCACATAAGGCTGAGGGACGGGAGCAAGGCACCCTCTTATTTGGGCCGCACCAAGCAGTCTACCGGCTGTAGAAGAAGAGATTGGATTTATACCCCGCCCTTCACTACCCAAAGGAGTCTCAGAGTGGCTTACTATCCCTCCCCCCTTCCCACAACAGACACCCTGTGAGGTAGGTGGAGCTGAGAGAGCTCTCTTGAGAACTGCCCTTGGGAGAACAGCTCTGAGAGAACTTGTGACTGACCCAAGGTCACCCAGCTGGCTGCACGTGGAGGAGTGGGGAATCAAACCCAGGTCTCCCAGATTAGAGTCCACACTCTTGATCACTACACCAAATTGGCTCTCACATCTGCGCTCACATCAGTAGACATATCACTTGCTTTCAACAGGATGTCACCACATGTAACCACATCAAAGAGGTTACAGCTTGGCCTCGGGGTGTCAAAAACAGACCTCTGATGGCTCCAGTCTTTTCTGTTGAGAAGATGACAGAGCTTCCATGAGGGATTTTGAACCATCTGTCTTGGAGCTCTTTTTTGGAATGCCCTGCAGTTCTGTTACCCTGTGGCCCAAGCTAGCCCAATCTCATCAGATCTTGGGAGCGATGCAGGGTCGGCGGTGGTTAGTATTAGGATGGGAGATCGCCACGGAAGTCCAGGGCTGCTACGCGGAGGCAGGCAATGGCAAACATGTGGTGCAGAGGTCCATCAGTGGTTATTAGCCACAAGATATAGATAGGACACGCTTCTGTCTGGGGCAGTGATGCTCTGTCTTCTTGGTGCTTGGGGGGGGCAACAGTGGGAGGGGCTTCTGGAGTTCTGGCCCCGCTGGTGGACCTCCTGATGGCACCTGGGTTTTGGCCACGGTGTGACACAGAGCGTTGGACTGGATGGGCCATTGGCCTGATCCAACATGGCTTCTCTTATGTTCTTATTTTTTAGTATATGTGCTGCCAAAGTGAGTACCTCTCATGTTCTTATATACCCCCTAAATGTCTCTTGCCCTGAAAACCGTACAGGGTCGCCATGGAAAAGAGTAAGACTGCCATCACCACACACTAGATAATCCACTTTCAAACTTGGTTTTGCCAGTTTCACACATTAAAGTTGGAAAGTGGATTACTTAGTGGACCATTTAGCGTGTGTGATCGCAGCCTAAGAGTCCGGTAGCACCTTAAAAAATAACATTTCTGGCAGGGCATGAGCTTTCGCGAGTCGCCATTAGTCGTTTGCAACACGACTGCACTTTCTACGACCACCAAGGCGGCTTGGGACAGGTGACGGAGCTGGCTGGGGAGACTGTGGACGACATCCTTCCCATTGTTGCTTCTGGTCAGGGCGAGAGGCGGCCACTCCCCCCCCCCCCCCACGAACCTCCCCCCGTGCGTGAGGGCTCTGAACTGGGTCGTGCATGGCCATGGGGTTAGGTGTCATCAGTATGCTGATGATGCCCAGTTCTACCTGACTTTCCTGATGCCCCCAGATGCAGAATCAACCTTAAAATGGTGCATGCACGTGTTGGTGTTGAAGGTGGTGACAGATCAAGGTGGGCAGCCATGTTTGTCTGTCTGTAGCAGTAGAAAAGAGCAAGAGTCCAGGAGCACCTTCAAGACTGACAGGATTTGTGGTACTGGCTGAGGGCTGTGAACATACAGAGCTCATGAGAGCCAGTTTGGTGTAGTGGTTGGGAGCACAGACTGTAACCTGGGAAAACTAGGTTTGATTCCCCACTCCTCCAGTCACAAGTTCTTTCAGAAAACCAAAACAGGACCCACGGTAAGTAGGAAATCCCAAAAATCAAAATATCTCAAATAATATTTATATATTTTTGTTTTTTATTTTTACGATTTATTCACCATATCTTATTTATCACATAAGCCTTAATACATAGAAAGAATCATATATCAAAGTATCCTCTCTTAATATATCACAAAAGATATTGCACAACCCTTTTATTAATATCAGTCCTCCTTAATTATACAAAAGTTTTAAGAGGGAGGACTCCTTTAAGTCTATTTTTGAATAAGTGCTCAGTCTTCCTCCAACAGAGGCCCAGATATCCTCCTGTTTCAGTGTCTTCCTCAGGGAGTTCAACAGATATTTCCGAGCACAAGGTTGTCAAATACCAAAATATTTATCCAAATTTTTCAATGAAGGGACTCCGCCGCGGGCTCAGCCGTCTGAGCTATCTTCTCCGCCAACTCAGAAACCTGGACGACGCTCCCTTTGATATTCTGAAGGCCGAGCTGCAGTTTCTAGAAAGAGAGGGAAGCACGTCAGGGCGAATGAAGGACAGGGTGCCAGCCTTAGGCTGAGACCGAGGAAAGTCCGGGGACAGCTGCGTTTTTACGGGCCATCTGTCTGCGCTCTGCTCTCTGCCCAGGCTGTTCCCCTGTCGTGTGGACTTGCCAACTGGCGCAGGAATGATGTTAGCAGTCTCTCCTCCAGAGAGCTCTCTCAGCCCCACCTACCTCACAGGGTGTCTGTTGTGGGGAGGGGAAGGGAAAGGAGATCGTAAATCGCTCTGAGACTCCTTCAGGAAGTGAAGGGTGGGGTATAAATCCAATCTCCTCCTCCTCCTCCTTTGTCGTCTAGTTTTATTGTGTTTTCCACATTATTATAGACTTGCCACTCCCCAGGTGGTGGCTGGAGATCTCCCAGAATTGCAACTGGTCTCCAGGTTACGGAGATCAATCCCCCTCGAGAAAATGGCTGCTTTGGAGAGGAGACTCCAGGGCATTATACCCTGCTGATGTCCTTCCCCAAACCCCACCCTCCAGCCCCCAAATCTCCAGCAATGTCCTAACTCAGATCTGACAACCAGTCGGTTTGATTTTTCTTTGTTCCACCCCCCCCCCTTCCCCGGTTTCCCCAGAATCGATTTGGAGTCACTTTATTGCTGGTGCGGAACTTCTTCATTCAGGCTTTTTTGGGGGGCCGTCGTCATTTACAACAGATAAAAGGAAGCCCTTCTTCACCCAAAGAGTGATTAGCACATGGAATTCACTGCCACAGGAGGGGGTGGCGGCTACAAGCATGGAGGGCTTCAAGAGGGAATTAGATAAAACATATCCATAAGTGGCTCTGAGCCACAAGGTATAGATAGACCCAGAATCGATTTGGAGTCACTTTATTGCTGGTGCGGAACTTCTTCATTCAGGCTTTTTTGGGGGCCGTCATTTACAACAGATAAAAGGAAGTCCTTCTTCACCCAAAGAGTGATCAACACATGGAATTCACTGCCACAGGAGGGGGTGGCGGCTACAAATAGAGTCTGTCCTCCAAATAAGACATTTTCTCCAGAGGAACTGACCTCTGTTGTCTGGAGATCACTTGTAATCCCAGGATATATCCAGGCCACGCCTGGAGCTTGGCAAGTCTAGTTGCAGGCCTCTCCAACTGCAAGGTCATGAACCTCTATAGGACTGCTGGGGTTTTGGCTGCTTTGTGCTAGTTCGCTTGCATAGAAACAAAAACACTTTGCATGCATGCTGATAAAAGCAGCAGGACTGCAAGGTGACATCACTCAGTGGTGGGAAGGATTCCACAGAGGCTCTGAGTCCTTCCCATCCTGCCACATGACTGTGATGTCACATGACTTCCCATCATGTGCTTGCTGCTCTCTGGGTCCCATGGTGATGCTTGGGGTTGAAGATTGTTCCTGGGGCTGGAAAGCTTGAAAATCACCGCCTAAATGGAAAACACCCAGGGTCATATGAAATTAGATTCAGGTGGGGTAGCCGTGTTGGTTTGAAGCAGCAGAACAAAGTCTGAGTCCTGCGGCACCTCTAAGACCAACAAAGTTTTATCCAAGATATAAGCTTTCGCGCCTCCCACACCGCTCTAGTTCTGTAGTTCCCAGTATGCACACGACAGCTTAAACCGTGAATAAAACTTTGTTGGACTTAAAGGTGCCACCGGACTCCAACTTTGTCCCGCTGCTTCTGACCAACGTGGCTACCCACCTGAATCTATCAAGATGATTTTTTGTGTTCCTGAAAAGACGTTTTCTACGGCACGTGCACACCCTTTTGTCTGTAAACGGGCTGTACTAGGCGGTGAGCATCACGCCAAAGAAGAGGACACACAGTCCATGTAATTCCTTCTGTGAGGACCAACCCAATGACACGTCACCGTGTGCAAGCTCTCGGGCTCACCAGAAGACGAGGACAGCACATTTTAAAGGCCACCGGCTTGTTTGTATGATGACCTCCTCCTCACACTTCACTGCCAAGTACTGTGAATTCAGCGAGGGCCTCTGGGGGAGGGCGGAAGGTTGATGACTCTGCCAGAGGCTGAGAATGTGAGCTCATCTAAGGAAGACTCCCAAGAGCAGACCTCCCCGTTTCAGAGACAAACGCCCTGCCTCGCTGGGGGACCGGGCAGTGCTGGAAGTAGCTCTCTCATATGCCAGGTCAAGCATACGGTATTTGTAGCGCTCACCTTGGCAACTCTCCAGAGTAAGCTGTTCTGCCTTGCTACACTCATCTCATAGAATCACAGAGCTGGAAGGGACCTCCAGAGTCATCTAGTCCAACCCCCTGCACAATGCAGGAAATTCACAAATACCTCCCCCCACACCTGCAGTGACTGCTGTTCCACACCCAGAAGATGGCAAAAAACCTCCAGGATCTCCAGCCAAACTGGCCTGGAGAAAAACTGCTTGCTGACCCCAGTGTGGTGATCAGCATTTTCCTGGTCTCCCAACCAGTGTTCCCTCTAAGCTGAGTTCTTCACTGCCAAGTACTGTGAATTCAGCGCGGGCCTCTGGGGGAGGGCGGAAGGCTGATGACTCTGCCAGAGGCTGAGCGCGTGAGCTCATCTGAGGAAGACTCCAAGAGCAGACCTCCCCGTTTCAGAGACAAACGCCCTCCCTCGCTTGGGGACGGGGCAGTGCTGTAAGTAGCTCTCTCATATGCCAGGTCAAGCATGCGGTATTTGTAGCGCTCACCTTGGCAACTCTCCAGAGTAAGCTGTTCTGCCTTGCTACACTCATCTCATAGAATCACAGAGCTGGAAGGGACCTCCAGAGTCATCTAGTCCAACCCCCTGCACAATGCAGGAAATTCACAAATACCTCCCCCCACACCTGCAGTGACTGCTGTTCCACACCCAGAAGATGGCAAAAAACCTCCAGGATCTCCAGCCAAACTGGCCTGGAGAAAAACTGCTTGCTGACCCCAGTGTGGTGATCAGCATTTTCCTGGTCTCCCAACCAGTGTTCCCTCTAAGCTGAGTTAGTGTGAGCTAGCTCACAGTTTTTTAGCCTACAGCTCACACATTTTTGTCTTTGCTCAGGAAGGATGGTTCCAGAGCAAACTAGTTTATGCAGTAGCCAAATCGCTCACTTGCAACTTTCATGCCAGTAGCTCACAAAGTAGAATTTTTGCTCACAAGACTCCACAGCTTAGAGGGAGCACTGCTTATTTATTTATTTATGTAACTTAAATTGTTTGCTGCCTGTCTCTTGGGGCTAAAAAATAAGGCCAAGGGCGAAGGTGCGAAATCAGGTAAAAATATATTTTATCGCTCAGTTAAATTTCCACACAAAAAAAATTGGAAATTTTTTGCCAAATGTTTTGCCAACAGGCTTTGTCAGGGGAATGAATCTGTTCGTCTTAAAGTAGTTCTTCAAGTGACAAGTCTCTACTGATCTTTTACTCTTTTCGAAGAACTACGGCAAGATGAAAAGATTCCCCTGACGAAACCTGTCGGTGAAACATTTTTGGAAATTTAACTGAGTAATAAAATATATTTTTACCTGATTTTGCACCATTGGCCTTTGCCTTATTTTTTATCTCCTGGGATTGGTGCGGATGAAGAAGAGATTGGATTTATTATACCCCGCCCTTCACTACCCGAAGGAGTCTCAGAGCAGCTTACAATCTCCTTTCCCTTCCCCTCCCCACAACAGACACCCTGTGAGGCAGGCGGGGCTGAGAGAGCTCTTTTGAGAACTTCCCTCGAGAGAACAGCTCTGAGAGAACTTGTGACTGACCCAAGGTCACACCAGCAGCTGCATGTGGAGGAGTAGGGACTCAAACCCGGTTCTCCCAGATTAGAGTCCACACTCCTAACCACAACACCAAACTGGCTCTTTCTCTTCCTGTTTCTTTTGGGGTTGCCAGCTTCCAGGTGGGGTCTGGAGAGCTTTTGGAATGACTACTTATCTCCAGACTACAGAGATAGGTTCCCGTGGAGGACATGGCAACTGTGGAGGGTGGTCCCTGTAGTATTATACGCCATGGAGGTCCTTCCCCCAAACCACACCGTCCTCAGGCTCCAACTCCCCCAAACCTCAAGGAATCTGCCAACCTGTTTTCTCCCCAACGGAGAGCCAAAACAGCTTACTTTCTCCTTCATTTTCTCCACACAGTGGCTGAGAGAGTGACTGGGATTTGAACTCGGGTCTCCCAGATCTAACCACCACACCACTCTAGTTCTGTAGTTCCCAAGGTGGTCCCCAAATCCCAGAGCCAGTGCCACCTCATACCGGAAACCTAGTGACCAAGAAACATATCTACGCAGCTCCAGCTATGACCCTAAACATACGAAACGATCCCTTGTGTACAGCCAGACTCTACGCCTACACCTGCACCTGCGCCATTCCTACAGACAGAGATTCTCACTGGCGGGATCTACAACAAATTTTGGAACTAAAGTATCCACCTGATGAAGTCAAGGAACAGATTAACAAAGCCCGAATGGTTCCCAGAGAAAACCTGTTGCGAGACAGGCCCCAAAGAGACAATAACAGAACACCACTAGTGGTCACACACAGCTCTCAACTCAAAAACAGTTCAATGCAGAGGTCATTTCGGGGGGGGGGATCGCAGTTCCCCCGGGTGAGGTACGGGGGGGTGGGGCACATGATGAAGCCCCGCCCCCTGCTTCCGGCCGCCCCGCTTCCGGCCCTCATTCAGCCAGGAGGAGGCAGGAGAAGAGGGAGGGTAAGTTGCTTCCTCCCTGCCTCTCCCCACCCCTGCCTGCCTGGGGCCAGG